TTAACGGACCCCCTAGTATCAGACTTGAAATAATCACCCCCCGACCTTTAAGCACAAGCATGCCAGCAATAAAATAATAAAATCAAATCAGGTGCGCAATAGGGTGGTCCAAAAAACCTTGCGGATTAGTAATCACAGAAACTCTCCTATCTAACTATCTCGGAGAGGAGTCAAGGATTGTTCGTAGGTAATTCAATGCGCCAAGTGGCCTCTTGACTTGCAGTTATACCAGGAGGCGACGGTATTACGTTCTGGATTTAACCGGAAATCAAATAGGCTAGACTCCAAACAACATCACCGTACCAATGCACAATTTAGTTATTGTTATACTTATCAAATCTCTGGTCCCAATTTTTCAGTTTCTGTCGGGTTTGACCCAGAAGCATTGGCTTTTTATCAATGATTATAATATCCATGTTTAAAGTAGGTTATGAATTTGCGTGTCAATTTATTCAGTTATACAATTTTTTGAAAAATTTCATTTTTTCAATACTTCAAATTTTTGAAGGTCTAGTATTTGGTTATAAACCACCTCCTTTCCTCACAGTTTTAATCTACTTGCAAATGCAAAATGCCCCTCCTACAGGGTCAAAATCGACAAAAAGTGGCGAGGTCGAAAAGTAGTTACATAAAATGAACGAAAATACAGATTTGATGCAGCGTTCAAGGTTTAATTGGACTGAACTATAAACTTTAAGAATTGACTATGGTGTTATGATCACTCATCACAATGAAACCTTTCACTTATAAGCTAAACCATTTAACTTTGCTTAGGAATTCAATAAAATTAAGGAGGTAGATCAATTTTTTTTCAAAATCTGAAGAATTTTCTTAGTTAATAAATGGATTTTAAATTTCCAAAATACCACAAAAAATGTTAATCTATAGGCGAATGGAAAGCTCTCGGAAAGACCTACATTAAAAAAAAATACGTCCAAATCCGAGTTCACGAGAAATCCGCTTTTGACTTCGGACTTGTTTTTGACACAACCAAAAATGATTTTGCTAATCGGATCGCATCGAACTATTCTTTAAATCGTGAACTTTTTAATGCTTTTATTTGGCCAAAATGTACGATTTTTATTAACCAGAGCGCCAAGGGCCTATTATAGAGTTACCTTCCTTGTTATATTTCGGGCCATTGTTAGTTAAGTAAAAAAATTCCACAGTCCATCAATTTGCAAGAATCATAGGGACAATTTTTGGAAATGGTTGTCTTAGGATTCCACTATATGTAAAAAAAATTAGAGCGCTCTGGGAGACACCCAGTTTGAAAGCGCAAGCATTGTTTTGTAAATTTGTATATTTAATTATGCAATAACTAGAAAAGCTACGGATCGGGTTTGTCATATTGTTTTGTTATCAAAAGAAGTGACCAAATACGGATTTTCAAAAAAATCGGATGAATTTTACTTAGTAATAACCAATTGATAAACTTCGGGATTGCGTTTTTATATTTTTCCATAAAAAACATTTGAAAATGAACGTTTAATACCAACTGTATCGTATAGAATATTCAATTCTAAACAAATTCATTTTTCTACATTTTTTCCCTTATAGCAATTTAGTTAACGATATAATTGAAGTCAAATGCGAAATGAAACGACATTTTGCTATTTTTTGTTCGTTTTTTGTTTATACATAACAATTATTCCGGGAGTTTTCGGCTAGAGGGACTATGATTTTCGGATTCAGCGGATCTTTTTATATATGATACACTTGATTTCGTTGAGTGAAATGACAACACCCACCCCAATCTGCCCAAACCGTAAAGTACTTATGAATATTGACACAATAAATGCGATCGTGTGGCATTTGACGTCACTTTCAGTCGTCCAATAGTGATGCGTTTCGCAAATTGGATTTCGTTTGCTTATTTTGCACTTTTGAATTAATATTTTTTGTAATTTAAAACAAACTAAATAAGAAAGTAATGGTGTAAGTATAATGCCAGGACAATAAATATTTGCGGGAGAAAGAATCAGGTAAATTTAAACCACATGCATATTCCCTATTCATGAAATTCGTCAAATGTAAGAAGACGGTTTGATGTGGCCACCGCAGAGAACTCCCTCTCTCCTAGGTATTTTCCTGGTAGATACCCTGGCCCAGTAAATCTTGGAATTAATAATAGGAAAAGTAAAAGGTGTCAAAATTTGGATGACTAACAGATTATCGTAAGTATATCAAGTGCAAAATGTTGCAAGGGAAACGATCTTTTGATTCTTCTTCTATGCTATTCAAACAATTACGCTCTGCTTTGATTTTATATTCAAAAATTCATCATGGCTGGTATAGTATCTTTATTGGACAAACTTTCCGAGTCCAAGACACAAGCGATGGCTATTTAGGCCTTTAGGCTGAATTTTCACATGAAGTAGAATTGGCAATGAAGAACAACGAAAGAATATGGAAGATTACCATTTGTAACGGCAATTCAGTGCACAATTGCAGATTAAAGATAAAGTTAATGACAAATTATGTCACCTGTTAATAATTTATAGTTATTTAAATCTTTCATACATAATAGCTCGAATCACTACAAACAAAATTCTACAACTAACCAGTAAATTACTTGTTATGACATGTGTACTAGCTTGAGATTTAAGAGTCTTATCCAGCACGTGGCCTAATAAGAGTATTCTTATTAGGTCATGACTCATGATCCAGCATACCAGCTCCGATTCGAGATTTTTTCCGTTCGGTAACCCCCGTCTTGCAACTATTTAAATCTGCTTGTAGATTACGAATGCTACTTAAAATCGAATCACATTCTTTACTAAACTGAGTGGTAAACTCCACTAAGAAGTTGGTTACGCTTCCAGAACTGATACTTTTTTGAGCATACAGTTCATTCTTAACGTTGGTACAACAGCACTGTATTACCTCACACGAAACATCATAGCACTGCGATGCTTTTACCACAGCACTTCCCAACGCTATGTAGGTGTCAATAAAACGTTGTTTAACATTAGCGTCAACAGTAATTACTCTGGTCATGTAGTATTTGGATATGTCATCAACACGAGTAAGTAAGTTGTTGAGGCACTGCTTTTTAGTAGTGGTAGTAGATTGTTCATTAGTAATTTCACTCGGAACGTCTTTTAGAAGGGTAGTTATTTGTTGCATGCACTGTTGAGGGAGGTCCGCTATATTTGCAAGTAATTCGACGTATTGCGGATGAATAATCTGCATACATTGAGCCATGATCTCTTTTTCCGGTTTGTTGTACTGCGCGCCGAAAGCACACTGTAAAAAATCACAATGTAGCAATTAAAAAATTACGTGAAGGCTGAAGATGCCAATTATAAGTGCGAGTAGTTGCATTTTGTGACTGTTTTGCGTGTGAAAACGAGAGTATAAAACATAAATATATCAAGAATCTATTTATATATGCTGATAATTACTTATAGATAATAGTGAATACCCCATGTTTCTCAAAGTTCAAGAATTATGCAGTTTAAATCTTTGTTATTCTTAACATTCGGTACATTATTCTGCGGAACATTCCAAACCGGCGATTACAAACCGGCAATCCACGAACCGGCGTCGCACCAAGCCGGCGCTTGTCAAGCCGGCGTTTGCCAAGCTCATAGCTCAAAAACGATGCGTTTTTTTCGAATAAAAAATATAGGAACAAAGTTGTAGCAAATATTATGAGCTTTTGATTTTTAAAAGAAATTTTTTCCCTACGCGCGAAGCATCGTTTTCGAGATATAGGCGAAAAACCGCCAAACTATACATTCAACCCCCTCCCCTCTCTCTGGAGGCACAGAAAACACTCCAAGACTTTATCACTCAATCATCAGGAGACCTTCAACCACACATTCCCGAAAAATTGGAACTACACGAATTACTTTTTCTGTATTTCCTAGAATGACTGGACTCTGGACTGGAAATGAATTATTATAATTCAGAAATAGAGGCCCAAAAAGAACAATGTGTTAATATTATTGATTGACTGTTTGTAGGAAATACAAACTAAGCAACCGGGAACAGTGATTTTTGAGGATGAATCTTGGCAGAACGTCGGCGTCGGCGTCGACTACTTTCAATCCCTCGAATAACTTGCAAGCAAGCCGGTTTCTCAACGTCTATTTTCCTTGTTTTTTGTTTTGGAAAGTGTAATTACAGGTTGTTTATTCTTTCGTTCTAATGTATATTGCCCTGTGCGATTCTATTAACCGTTTATACCGTGGATCTGTATATATTCCCTCCTAATCTAGTGCGGCTGTGGCTTTTGTGTTTTACGAATACGACAAGTGAGTGAGGGAGTATCTCATTAGCTGTTCTTGTGGTTAGAATGTGGATCTGTTTGTGTGATAATTTGCATTCTCACCTGATCTTTTAAACTGGTGGTAGCCGATGGCGGAGCAGTCATGTCATTCTGATGTTTTTTGTTCACATGCAATTTATCATTTTACGAGTTGTTTTGTCTAAATTAAACCGTAGATGTACTTGATTTGTTTTTGTACTAAATTCATTTCCTGTGTTTTTAGTGATTGTTATGATAACGCTGGATCAAGACATGTACTACAAATTTATGTGAATAGTTTAACGCATAAGTAAACCCTAATAATACCACTACATTGCTGATGTTAAGGAAATCTCCACCATACTAACTTAAGAACTTTCTAGAAGTTCCTCGCAACGGTATAATAAAGTACCTACTTTACCTTTGATCATGGCAATCAGGAGTGATCATGTAGATCTTAAGGAACCTGTATGCTAAATTTGAGATCACATGATTGGTGTTTTGGAAGAGGTGAAAGAACAATGATCACCCAGGCAGATTAACATTAAAAAAAAGAGAAGTAATCTACTTTTCTTTTCGGAGAAGGGAATCACCGTACTGATACATACAAAAACCGAAAGATAAGCTGTAATTCACAAGATATTAGTAAATTACGAAATAGTTATAGGCATTGAACTTATCGTTTTAATTATTTATAACTCTCTGACAACTTTCATTATCTGAGTATGTATGTCACTTTCAAAGAGTATGAAAGAAATTACAGTAGAAAATCCCAAGTAAAAGTTAGAGTTCAGACCCCCGAGTGATAACGAAGTGGTAAATAGTTATAAAAGGCAAAATGCTTTTATCTTTAGTATTGTTGTTCAGCCAGTCCATTTGAACTTCATCATAATGCGATTTCTTGCAATTTTAATTGGCGTTTTAAGTGTTCACGTAAGTACTGACCAATTTTCCTTGTTAATTATAAAAATGTATTTTACAGTGTACCTTCGGTACGCAGTGTCAGAAACCGACTAAAGAAAGCAGCGACGATTGTATGAAAATTATTCATCCGACACATGGCGAATTATTGGGAAATGTGCCCTACATGCCTCAACAATGTTTGGAAGGTATAGCGACTCTTCTCAAAGATGTTCGTCGGCAAATTGAAGGGCGACGTTCCTCTAACCCTCAGTGTATGAAGGACTTACTAAATCGTCTTGATGATATATCGAATGGCCATTTGAGGAAAATAATAAGCGTTGATAGCAGCGTTAAGCAGAGCTTTATTGGCGTTTATACGGCCTTGGGTAATGCTATTGTAGGTGCGCAACAATGCGTGGACAAACCTCACGCCTCGTGCGAGGAAATTCAGTTGTGTTGCTCCGACGTTAAGAGTAAGCTGTATACTCAAAGAAATGTGAATTTGGAGAACATCAGCGATTTCCTAATAGAATTTAAAACTCAGTTCGGTAAAGTATGCGACTCGGTTACGAACAGTATTCGCGATTTGCAAAGAGATGTTAATTCTACGACCTCCTGCTGAGGCTTTGTTTATATAATTGTTGTAATTTTTTATTTGGGTTTTTTTATTACTCGTGTGATACTTATGAATATAAAATGGATTTTATTTGTATAGTTACATTTTCCACGGTCTAAGAAAACAATTGGACCATTGGAGGGCAAGGGGTATAGAATTAAAAATTCTGCCTGCTTTCCTACATTTAAATCTAGACAGCTAAAGTTTGAAAGAGAAAAACCTCCTCCAAGTGATATTGTAACCGGTTGGCAAAAAAATTCTTATTGCTTTGAAATCTGCTTATTGTCTAAGAGCTGGCTACGGAAAAAAGTGACTTATCGCTACATGGCCGTTTTTTTTGTAAAGTATCCTGATACATAGTGAAGTAGAAAAAGTCATGTCTGCCAGTGAGATCCCGTGGCTTAAGGTTGGGAGGGGCAGTCAAATATGTCAAATTTTAATAAAACTGAGGCCTATCTTCCGAATATATTTACCTCTGGCACCTTTATTTTGAATCTGACGCATCAAATGGTTAATTTAACGTCTAGGTAAAGGAAACCTCCTCTTTATAACATAACATTCAAAAAAAGCTTTCGGATTTATAAAGAATTATACTTCTTCTTGGTAAATCGGCAAGGACACTTAAGTATATCAAAGAGTACCCATACTCTTTGCTTATATGACTATAAATGTGAACTATTAAAATATTTTACCTTTTTAAAATAATTTAAATATATTAAATTCGAAGAAACGGAATAGTGCAATACAGAAAAAGCTAAAAATCTATTATAAATAAAATGTAAATTGCAGGCCTTTTTTCGAAATTTTTAAAAATAAGTTAGATACCCATCCGTAAAAAACGAACTGGCAAATTTTTTGATAATTTTATATGTCAAAACATAGAAGTTCATGCGTTAACGTTCTATGCATGTGTAAGTTTTATATTACCCTTCAATCCTTAAAGAATGCTCTACAAAATGCATGTACAATATGAAATTTTAAATGTTAGCGGTATTATTCTCAATCAGAAATGAGCGCCCTGAAATTAAATTAACCAGCAATATACAAATTATGTTTATGCTGTAGTTATTTTGGCGAGAAAACATTTTAAATTTCACTGTTATTAATATTTTGTGAAATACAACGCTTTTACTTAATTTATGAACGATGGCTTCAGTGAAATTGCCATATTAAACTTACAAAGTGCACGTTTGCGTGGTAACTACATAATAAGATGCATTAAATCAAGGAAGCGCTCGTAAGGTACGCATAATTTTGCATAAGTTATCTGGATGTTTTGGTGAATGTACCAATTATCTTTGAACTAAATCACAACTAATCAAGAGGGGGTCCGTCGTATAAGTAACCACAAATTAAGCACGGTGGTAGTTGTACTTGTAGCAGCATAAAAAAACTATGAAGGGTTTAATTGTGGTATGTATTCCATGATGCGCGGATGGCCACCTTTGAATCGATATTTCAGGTTACGCTGTCGTTAGTAGCTGTGGCTAAGTGCCGGCCAGATGTATCCCTTGCAATCCCTTCAGGTGCTTACCTTCCGATCGGACAAAGTCATGCCGACTACTCTTCCAGTTTTCCATCTGGAGTTTATGGTGCCCCAATATCTGAAGATCAAAGGCATGTCTACTTTTATGCGGGTGGCGAAGATCTATATTCCAGGCTGAAAATAAACATCGTGCCCACTTCCCATAAAAATACCAAAATAATCTTCGTCAAAGCACCAAGTCATCAAGTAGTACCCGAAGTTATCGCGCCACCTTCGCTTACAGAAGACAAAACTTTGGTCTACGTACTGGTCAAAAAACCGCAAGATGGATCTATTACCATTCCAAGCGGTGTCGGTATTAAACAAACGAAACCGGAAGTGTTCTTCATCAAGTACAACAGCAAGCACGACGCGGCGTCACAAGTAACAGCCGGCGCGCATGGACAACAGGTAGGGTCCAGTGTTCCAGATGTGGGAAGCGAAGGTGCATTCGTTAATACATTGAGGGGCGCCGATGCTGGAGGTTACGGTGGTAACCACGGACAACCGGGAGCTAGTGGGCCATATTAAATACATCAGAAGCAAATGAATTCACTTCATTTTATTTTACTATCTGAATCTTCTCTTCTAGTCCATGTTAGTTAATTAATAAATGTTTACGTAGCTGCAAGAGCCATAATTTTGACCCTCACCATTACAGAATTCTGAGCTGGTTTCAATATCATTTGAAATGTTGGAAAAATGAAAATTTACCGAAGTATAGACACCCTGTGTAATCAACGTCGTAAATGTCATGTATTGAGTAAGCTATTATGATTTTGTAAGCAGTATCTAGTTAGCTTGGTGAAGATGAGTTGCTCGACTACGACACCGTACGGTTAGGTCCAAGTCCAGTACTTAACATATTCAAATTTGTACCCGCTACCAAACTAGTAGAAAAATTCCCAAATTAAATGGCATATATATGATTAGATGTACCTAATAGCTAACATTAATTCTTATTTCCATTACAATCAGATTTTTTGAATAGACAAATATACTAACTACAGTTGTTGCAAACGGCAGGTCCACTACATTCAACGGATTTATTGGAAATCTTTCCGATGCTCTCGTGAAGATAGTCGTGATTATTCGCAATGCAATTTCCAAAAACGGTAAAGATAATGGGAAACGAAGTGATTATTATAAAGAAAAGGAAAGGCTATATACTCTTGCTCTACCGTTACATCGAAATACGATTTGTTTCTCAATGATCAGGAAAAACCTTTTCTTGTATACAGAGTTATCCAAAAAAGTCGACTCGATCTTAAACCTTAATAAATAAGAAATTGGTCTTCCATCTGACTGCGCTCTGCACGGACCGTCTATAGAATTCTTGCTGATGTTATCCCTACTCAGTAGGCAGAGCCTACTAGATTAGGAATTAGCGGCGGGTGACCTATATAAGCGTCCACCAAAACCACTGGGATCATCCAACGACCGAGCGTCTTTGGCCAGCCCTAGGATTAAACAGATTGAGATATACGGGGCATTTCTTTCCGTACCGCTACTCCTTAGTTGACTCCTTGACACGCGAAATCTGATCCTGTATATATTTTATTCTGTATATATGTTGCTTTTACTGAGTTTATATAGTGAACAGTGTTCTTTAAACCACCACGTTATTCTACCCCGTAACAACTGAGTTACGCCGTGGAGATTTTCAACTTTGTTTTCTGTTTTGGATATGCTACGAAAATGTTCGACCACAGCACGACGATGACTTTATGGAGATGATGTTTCGCCCATTAGGTGATGATCATAGTCATCATGCTGCCGAGACCCCATAAAAACTTGACGAACCGAATAGCTAAATTTCTCCCGAGGATAACACAACACCAGAATATTATAACAGTATTTATAGAAATTATCCGATAATGTAAGGATATTAAAGACATTTGGTTACCATAGATTCACCTATATTGTTCAACGAAAATATCAATATCATTTATTCGATAAGGGATAACCAATTGCATTTTCCAAGTAAGCGGATCAGATGTAGGTACTTAGAGTAATAACTACGCTAAACTCGAAACTTATTACTGCATAAACTTTATCAGATATAAACTGTACATTAATGAGTTTCACTTCTGTAACTTTCTCTGTATCAAAAGCTAATTATTGTCCTAAATCATCAAACTTTAATAATGTGCTGCTGTTCTAAAACTTCCCAAATCATACCTACCCTTCCCATCCTTGCCGATTACATTAATTGACACTTGGCTCGGAGCGGTTAATATTATCCGCTTTAGTGTATACGCGTCTCTATTACTCTTCTCGAAACGCTTTCATTCTGTACCTACTATGTAACAAGTAGAGGTATTACACAGAATGTTAAGAGTAGTGATATTTGCATACATTCCCTTAAAACTAAATTATGGAACAAGTGCAAGCGAAAATTTAATAATCTCAGGGTAAATTTATAATAGGCCACTAATATGTTTAATGCTCAAATAACGCCTTCTCTGTATACATATGTAAAATTTTTTACAAAATTTCTACCGCCAGATGGAGAGTGCCAGGGAGAAAAATGTCAAAGTTATAACAAACTGACATATTTCTTATTGGGAAAACAGTTGTTTTAATTTCTTAAAAATTTTCGCAGAGTACATTAGCCACAAAGAATGTAAAACTGTCAAATACTTTTTTAAAATATGAGTTTTTAGCGCCGTGACGTCATACAAGCGTTTTTTCAAATAGTAACTCATGAACCAAATTTTCGAATGGTTACTCATTCAAATACGAGTACTACCAGGAGCAACGTTGCTGGACTGTAGGTACACAATAAATGAATTATTAGTAATAAACGGTGGACGGTATTTACGGAGGTATTTACGGGAGCACATATATAAGAATTATCGACTATCGCAATTATTAATTGAATAATGACTAAATTTCGTTTTTTCTCGGGTCAACTAAGACATGGAATTCGGAACAGAACAGTAATACAAATAGCAGGTTGGTATATACGATACTTTTAAAGCAAGCATTTTTGCTTAGAAAAAATATCAGTTTCAGGAGGTGATTTATTGGGGTTTAACTGTACCTGCATAAACCAGACGAATTGCGAAATGTCACTTAGTAATTTACATACGGGGTGTTCCTATTATTCCCGAAACTATCGAAAAATGATTTATATAAAATACTATTCCTATGGAATTATCCATTTATTTTCGAAGAACTCAATTCTTAGTCTTGCAGAATTATATTTCGTATATGATATACAGGGTGTTTGGTAAACATGCGGCAAAAATGAAAGAGGTTATTCCTTGGACTATTCTAATGTTATTTTATCCTTTGATGATTTTTGAAAAAACGCTTCGTTGCGAAGATACATGTGTAATTTCTGCCCTTATTACTTAAACGGTTGTTTGTGAAATCCTCTATCATGGCTCATCATTCGAATGCGTTTTTTCAAAAATCATCAAAGGATAAAATATCATTAGAATAGTCCAAGGAATAACCTCTTTCATTTTTGCCGCATGTTTACCAAACACCCTGTATATGATGATATACTAACTAATAATAACTAACTTCGAACTAAATATGTAAATCTCTGGAATGTTCTTGTTAATTTAACTGTGTGTGGGTGAGTCTATTGAGAGCATTAGTAATAATGTGCGTTTACTGAATATTACGATATCCGTAAGCAATCATGGTTTGGTATTCATTTTGAATATTTTTCCGTTTCTTTAAAGAAATCCATTTTGCAAAAAAACAACGCCCGTGCCCATACAGAAATACATAGGTACCACTTCGCCCACTAAAGATTTTTGGTACATTAAGGGTAGGGAATTGAGAAACTTGATGAATCCTTCACAGATACCGAAACAATTTCTACATACAGGGTGTTTTTTTGGGAGCTTTAGTTAAAAGTTTCTGGGAAAGTAAAATAGGTAGGATTTTGAAAATTTGTACTTAGGAGTTACTCTGAAGGCCGAATGGATGTAAAATATGTTCAAAATAGCCGCACTTCCGGAAACACCGGAAGTAAATAGTAACTTCGTTATTTTAAATGGCAACCCCTATTTTTTATTGCATTTTTGGATTGTACGTGAAATTTCAGTTCTTTTGATACCCACATGTCCCTATCTTTTAAGTTATTTTGACTTTAAGAAAAAAAATGGCGGATGCAGATGGTACCTTGATAATTGATTACTTGAAAAAGGTTATAGTCATGGCAACCCATTTTTATCAGTGCATAGAGAATGAATAGGGCTTTCTTTTACTGTACTTAAAACAAAGTTAAGTTGCGTACAACCGCACCTATGGAGATCCAAATTTAAGAAACTTCAAAGTCTATAAACTCAGTTTTTTTAAATGGAAAGACCATGTACTTAATATTGCATGAGATAGAGAATCGAAATTGGCATATTTTGATATTACATGTTCCTATAGCTATCTTTAACAGTTTCTGATTTATTCCCATTTCATTGAATTGATTTAGGAATTGATGCCATTTTTGTTCGCATTTTCTTTTTAGTAGTTGGCCATGATTTTATAACAATCGAATTTTAAACAAATCAAGGAATGGATTCTTTAATACCACTGATTCTAGTTCTAGTCTAAATAATTCATTAATAAATAACTCATTTAATAAGGATATAGGACAGAAAATTTTTGAAAAATCTAAACAGAGTCGTTCAACTGAATTTCTTAAACAACGTATAAGTCTGGAAATTAAGAGAGGTAACGCGATATCTGTTCTAGCAACAATTCCATACCAAAAATGTTTCAACAAAGTTTTTTATATTTTGCATTGAATTTATTTTGTTAATCTTGCATTTGCAATTCAATTCATTTTCTTAAATATTCTCTTGTAGAGCTTTGTATAACTAGTGCTTCAACGGTTTGTAGTGCATTAGGGGTACAAAATTTCAAAAATTCATACAATTTCGTTCTAGTTTTCGAATGAATGTACGGAAAGCACGCGCCGCGATTTGGCCCATTTCACCATAAATAACAATTAAATTCCAAAATAGGTGAAACCACTGCGAGTCATTTTTCGATTTTTGAAAAACTTATGTTAACCTATAACAGTGGGTGATGGATTAGTGTCACTAGATTTGTTTAAAATTCAATTGTTATAGAATCATGGCCGACTACTAAAAAGAAAATCCTAAAAAAATAGTGTCAATTCAATAAAATGGGAATAAGTCAGAAACTGTTAAAGATAGCTATAGGAACATGTATTGTCAAAATATGCCCATTTCGATTCTCTATCTCATGGAATAGTAAGAACATGGTCATTCCATTAAAAAAAACTGAGTTTTTAGTCTTTGAAGTTTCATAAATTTGGATATCCATAGGGGCGGTCGTACGCAACTTAACTTTTTTTTAAGTGCACTAAAAGAAAGCCCTATTCATTCTCTATGCACTGATAAAAATAGGTTGCCATGACTACAACCGTTTGCAAGTAATCAATTATCAAGGTACCATCTGCATCCGCCATTTTTTTTCTTAAAGTCAAAATAACTTAAAAACCATAAATGGTAGATATCGACATATGGGTATCAAAAGAAGTGAAATTTCACGTAGAATCCAAAAAAGCAATAAAAAATAGGGGTTGCCATTTAAAATAACGAAGTTACTATCTACTTCCGGTGTTTCCGGAAGTGCGGCCATTTTGAAAATATTTTACATCGATTCGGCCTTCAGAGTAACTCCTAAGTACAAATTTTCAAAAACCTACCTATTTTACTTTCCCAGAAACTTTTAACTAAAGCTCCCAAAAAAACACCCTGTATATAGCAGGCCATTTGGGACACAATACCGCAAGGTCTATTGGTTTTCCCACTAAAGGCAAAAGAATGGTCCGCCATTTTGCCTTCTGATTTTCCCGATAGTTTAATATTAATTAAAATGTTAACATTCCGTGGAAACATTTTTACATTTACCACTACACAATCTGCTGAAATGGAAATCTAATAAAAACATAAAATCGATAATGAACTTTGTGCTGAGCGAGAAGGGTGGTGTAAGTTTCTTTTAATTAGATGTCACTTAGGTACTTAACAATACCACTTGCAGAACGGTAGCTTTAACATAGAACTGTAGGTACCTACTCTGAATTTCTTTAGTTAGGTACAGTGGCGGCGCGAGGTGGTGGCAAGTTGGCTTTTGCCAACCATTTGCGCAAAAAAGGCGCCAGAAAAGGCGCTTAAATGGACAGGTACAATTGCATAAAAATTAAAAAAATGATTAAAAAACAAAAAATTATTTGCATAGTAATTTTACATTACGAGACAAGTTTTTTGGGGGTAAGGGCCAACAAATATTTGGGGAGGCAACAGGCAAAGTTCTCATCCCAGAATCTCAATAGGCGCCTATTCGAGTAGCTGCCAACGGGGCGAGCGCAGCTCGCGCCGCCACTGGTTAGGTATAGGTACAAATCGTAACCCCAAGGCAAACATTTTGGCGTACATTAGTAATGAAAACGTAGTCTTTTTTTAAATTTTTTCCATTTTTCATTTGTGCAGATACAGTAGTAAAGGTTCCCACTCTTGTTTATCTAAATTCATCTAAAATGCACGATTTCTTGCAGGAACTGTTTAATAATGCATGCCGAAAATGCCAGAAATGTTATCCCATAACTAACATTCCAACGTAGAACCATATTTTCGAGTGATTTATACGACGAAGTAAAGAACAGAACTTACATAAATAGTAATTATTTGTTAAAACTAAACTTTTACTCTATTCTCTGCTAAGCAACAAGTTCAATCACCTTTTATTGAATATTTATTCGGCAAATTCGCAAGCATGACAAACATATAGACCAATTCTGATAATTTTTTTAACATTAAATTTAATTTATTAGGTCGTTATAAGTGTATACATTTAAACCATAAAACGCAACAACGAACACCTTTCCCAAAATTACCATTTGCCCAGTTAACTCGATTGCTAAATTTGCAGGGGGGATGCTAATATATTAAGTAATATCGAATTGCTGTATTCTAAGTTGTGTCCGTTGAATCAAACCGACAATGAACGTACTAACGGTAAGTAATTAACACTGAATTAATCTTCTGACATTGTTCTATTGCAGATTATCCCACTCTTAGTTGCTGTAGTCCATTCGCGACCCGAACCACCATCACCTAGCTACCTGCCGGTTTCAGATCAGAGTGCACCCACGGCTTGGGAAAACGGGGTTTATGGGTACGGAGGTGGATACCAAGCGTCCCAAGGTGAAAAGCACGTATACTTCTTCGCGTCCGGCGAACAGCCCGAGTACTCGCGTTTCCGGATTTACGTGGAACCAAGCTCCCGAAAGAACACCAAAATCATCTTCGTTAAGGCACCATCGCACGGAGGAGTTATTCCCGAGGTGATCGCCCCGCCGTCGCTGGCCGAAGATAAGACCTTGGTTTACGTGCTGGTGAAGAAACCCGAAGACGGCTCTGTTACAATTCCGGCAGGAGTAGGCGTCAAGCAGACCAAACCGGAAGTGTTCTTTATAAAATACAACAATAAACACGACGCTAAAGCTCAAGTTAACTTGGGCGTTGAAGGTCAACGCGTTGGAGTAAAGGTGCCAGATCTCGCAAATGAAAATGTGTTTATTAGCACGTTAGGATCTGGTGCTGAACATAGTTCCGAAGTAGGTGGCGGTTATCAATCGTTTGTAAGCCATAGCCAAAATGGCAATGATGGAATTTCTGCACAAGGAGGGGTGAGCGGTGGTAATGATAAACATGGACCCACTGGTGCCAGTGGACCGTATTAGTAATGATAAATAATTAGTTATACAAAATGAAAAACACAATAAAGTTGTATTGTAAATTAGTTATGCTAGTTTTTCTAATCATGATTCGTTTTTCTTGCGGGGCACATTAAGCTTTATACATCATTACATTCGACACAAAACTAAATCGACAGATCCAAGATTTCAAGATAAGGGTCGGACCACGCAGGGTTGCATACACCATACACTGTTTTTTATACTGCGTTACCTTTTTACGAACAGCAAAATCCCTCGAAAGTAACTAAACGTACTATCATGATCTCAAACTAACGTTAATAAACAATATAAACATTCTGTAGTAGATCACTCCCGTGAACCGCAATGGTGGGAATTGTATGTGAACCAACAACTTGGGATGGCTATCGAATACGAGAATAAACAACCCTATCATTAATAAAGGTCACGTCCGAGCTTTACGTTAGGCCACATCTCGGGCGCAGTATAATAATGTAAATACAGTGTCGACTGCCGCTTTTGTATTAGAGGATTGCTTGCATCTGATGCATGCGACATCGACATCACGATCTAACCGATCGCATATTGAAGCTTCCGGTATCACTTCAGATTTCAAATGCAATGCCTACGTTTTTTATTTGAAAAGAGCAATCCAGTTTCTGTATAAAATTTGCATGTGGTTGATATATCGGGTGTTTTTTTAAGCACGATAGAACTTTCCATCGCGATGGCTGTGAAATCAGGTGTCAGTTTGCTCATTATTAGTGACATTTAAATTTACTATAGTGTGACAAATCATCATGAATAGACTCACTCCTGAACAACGCTATCAAATTATTCAAATTTACTTTGAAAATCAGTCATCGATTCGCAAAACGTATAGACGCCTTCGTGAATTTTACGGTATACATAATCGTCCATCTGAACTATAGCCATTCGTCGGACTGTGGAAAGATTACATACCACCCTTTCTCTAATGGATGCAGTAACACCAATATGTCGAAGAAATGTACGCACTGAAGAGAATATTGCCGCTGTAAATGAAAGTGTGCAAGAAAATCCAAAACTGTCTCAGTAGGTAGGGCTTTGTCCGTCCACTACATGGAAAATTTTGCACAAAGATCTTGGGCTACATCCATATAAGATACAGTTAGTGCTGGAATTAAAGCCACAAGACCATCGATTGCGGTGTACTGGGCTTTAGAGCAGTTGCAAGTTGATTTCAAGAAATGGACCTGTCAAGTGGCCACTCAGGTTCTGCGATTTGACGCCTCTTGATTATTTCCTATGGGGCTACGTAAAATCATTGGTTTTTGCTACTAAACCAGCAACCCTGCACGCCTTGGAAGCCAACACTGTCCGTATGATTAATAACATAATGGCACCAATGCTCGAAAAAGTGACCCGAAATTGGACTGACAGAATCGTCAGAGACAGCCGCGGTGGCCATATGCCTCAAATAATAATATTAATGTCATATGATCTTTCCAATAAACATAGATTTTTTATCAAAAGCTGTTTTTTGTATTATTTATTCAAGTTTAAAATTCTATCGGGCTTAAAAAACACCCTTTACAAAAAAAGAACAAATTCGTGATTTAATATTTAAGAAACTAATGAAATCTAGCATCCCGTGTGCTGTCAGGTTGCGCGCTGTCGGTTGTGTTACACAGCGAAGACCTGCATCAACTTGTCCAATGTTCTGTTTTGAAGGTTTATTTTTGCGCCTACGATTTCCCCATGTAATACATCCTGCCAGCACACGGCATGCTAGATTTCAAAATATTGAATCACCAATTTCTCCATTTTTTGTCACGAGAATAGCTCTAGGGCTTTCATGGATTACTTTTCAGCATTTTACAATTTCACATTTTAATAGCTTTCAACCCGTACGACAACATCGGGAATGTCTTCCTCATAATAGTAACTTTACACCGATATTTAAAATATTGTGCCTCCATCTTTCACGGAAATGATAACGTATTTGTTACGACTGTTATGTAACGGAGCCCGACATTCCCAACAAGGACTCAAGATACGAAGAATACACATAACATATCAGCCTCGTTTATGACCAGGCGTCCAGGCGCCTGCATTAGGACGTGATATGTCACACAAGTCACCATAACAACAATATAGAGGTATGTTCATTGTTCAGGGTAAGCATTCCTGGTTTGAGCTCAGGCGTCCCCCTTTGGCTAGGAGTATAGGACATACGTTGTTTCACTATAATACAGGGGTATAATGTTTGCATACAAAGTAGGGTTTATAGACCCATCACATAATAGTATTCCAAAAACATTAAAGTTCGAGAGTCGTGAAAAATAATTACATTTGGTACATATGCAAAATAAGATGATGGGAAAATACAACTACAAACAAATCCAACAAATATATTATGCCCTCACATAAAACAAACAAAACCCTCGACCCATCATACAAGCCGACAACAAACATCATAATTGAATTTAAAAGTTGTACTTGAATTTTCACTTCACCTTCCTGCGAATGATTAAAATATAAAATACATGTAAAAAGTTACTGAGCACTCTAACTATTTTCACAAAATCTCCCAGATACCCTAAATTGAAAACACCCTGAATATTAATCTCAAATGAAGACCACCCACACCTGTGGAAAGTTCTATCTATCAGAAACTGTAATATTCCCTAAATTAGATTAACACCCTGTCCTTATGCTCAACCTTCCCCTAACACATGTAAATCTAACACTGGGGTCAAAACAGGAAAATATTAATTAAGCTAAAGGACTTTTCTTAACTCGCCATTTCTATGAACGTAATTCAAGCGACATTCTCAATACGCACATAAGAAAATTTCGTACGCGCTATCAATAGCAAATAAAAATTACTCAAACATTGCCTTACAAATTCAAATTTATAAAAACAAACCCTGATAAATCGGCAAGCAAGTAATACAGAGCAATTACCCTACATCCTATGCTAATACAGTAATTGCAAAGGAAAAAACAAGGGATATATTTACTTATATTTACGAATCAAGCGCATACCACCAAAAGCTATCTACGTTCTGCCGCCTCAGCAAAACTTCGTCACCTTCTCTTTCTCGCTTGTTGAAAGCAAAGCATCCGCACTCTTCGCGGACCCTGGTCCTTGTGGAATTTGAAATATGCACTTCTCGGTTAAAAATTTATAGTGGGGTATCATGCGTTTTCCTCATTATATTAATGAAATGCATAAAAGCGGAAATGACAAAATTCAAAAACGGTCAGATATGTTTCATCATAATACGAAGCACGTGACTAAACTGACGAATCCGGACGATTCCAAAAAATGAAAATAATCTGAATAGTCCCATGCAGTAGGGGAATACCAAGTCTGACCATCCTGAAGAAACGGGAGAACCAGAAAAATTCCAATGAAGGTTCCGAGGGTTAAGAATCTTAAAAAATATGGATTTCATAGAATCAAAGAATCTGAAGGAAAAGATCAGAAACAAACTTCACTAACCAAGAATTGTAAAAGTTCACAACTAACTAACTAATGAATTTGAAGATTTGGGAAGAAATTTGAAGGATCCTAAAAAAACACGAATCTCAAAAGTTCCAAGAAACGAATAAATAATGCAAGTGGGTACTATGAACTATCGGAAACATCCAAAGCAATCGAATGGTGCAAATAATCTCAACAAATGCAGCCAGCCGAAAGCAGAAGGCACGGGTACTTTTCAATGAGGTATACGTAGGGATTCGAACAGGCGGCAGCGATATACAGCTTCTCTCCAAATCAGATAGGTAGCTCCTGCACTGTTTCAAACAAAGCAGTGCTTGTATGCCCAAGGAATGTTTTCAAAACGTACATGCTTCAGAATAATGAGGTTAGGACCAAGTCAAGACTCCTTCTTGAAGAGCATCGTTAATCAAATATACGGACTACATACCTATACAGAACTCAGCACTTGATTTCCCACGAATGGTATTAATTTACGAAGTTTACGAACAATTTCTGTCTAAAGTCCTGGATGAAAAGAAACAAGTAGATGTTATTATACTGATTTTTCTAAGGCGTTTGACAAAATTAGTATCTCGATTTTAATTGACAAACTTCGAATTACAGGGATAACAGGATTATCACTAAACTGGATTTCTTCATTTCTAAGTGATAGAAGACAAGTTGTCCGAGTAGGTAACTTCCAGTCTATGCAAATAACGCCTACGTCTGGAGTCCCCCAGGGTTCCCACTGTGGGCCCGTTTTATTTTTGTTATTCATCAATGATATCGTGGATGTAATCGCACATTGTGACTGTTTAATGTATGCGGATGATTTAAAAATTTTTCACTCCATACAATCTGAATTAGATTGCATTAATTTACAGTCAGATCTCAATCGTATATCTTCGTGGTGTGCAACTAATAGACTACAATTGAATGTAAAGAAAGTGTGCGGCAATGTCGTTTTATAGAATAAATCCCCTATTACATTTAACTATTACCTAGACAATCAATTGTTACAAAAGAAATCTGAAATTAGTGATTTAGGAGTTATTTTCGATCGACGACTAAATTTCAATTCCCACATTGACGCTACTTACAATAAATTAATCCGCAGTTGGGGTCTTGTTTGGGTTTATTGCTAAAGATTTGAACGTACAATGTTTGAAACTACTTTTCTGTTCAATTGTTCTATGCCATGCCGACTACGGATCGGTATTGTGGTCTCCGATCACTGACCAAAATCGTAAGAAAGCTGAAGAAATTTCTTAGAACAATGGAATATAAGCTTGGAATTCCACATATCCAAGGAGCTACGCATCAATTAGATCGGATTTGGGCCTACATTCCTTGGAAAACCGGAGACGCATTGCCGACTTATGTTTTTTACACAAACTTCTAAATGGTGCTATTGATTGTCCTGAAATTCTTAGTTTGGTGGATTTTTATGTTCCTAGGACTACATGCGTCACCAGAAATATACCTACCAGCCTTCAGAATTAAACAATTTTCGAGCAATGTGTCTAGGAATAATCCTTTAACAAGAATTTGGTCC